CCACAGCGATGGCTAATAGCAAATTTCACTGTTTTTCAAGTTTGTTTGTTTGTTTTCCAGAATACTGTCAAATCATTACAGAACACGCAGCTCGTATAGCACGGAAACATATTCCAAATACTAAAGGAAAATACTACATAAGTAAAAGTAGGGTTCAAATGAAGCAGGATGCACGGTATAATTGTGTTGTTCAAGGTAATAGAAGCTTTCACAATGTCGCATTTAAGAGAGGTTCCCTGACACACTTACATAAAGTTGCTCTCTCAAACCAAGCAATTGGACTTTTTCCTTAGTGTTTTATGAAAGATGCAAAAGAAGCAGACATAAAAGGAAAGCAAGGTGCATATAAATCTTTAAGGCAATAGGGATCCTACAAATCTTATTTCTTTTCTCTGTTCACCCTAGGTCATCATACAACTGAATCTAAAACCCAGCAAATGTTATTTTTGTATCAGGAGCAGCAAAGGAATTGTACTGTAAATTTGCCCTGATTCACCCATGCGAGGGACCAATTTGGCAGATCATCCATCTTGTTCACTGTACACTGTCAGGGATGGCATGAATTCCCTACATGATAAACAGATTTCTTCTCAGGTCTGTGTCCTTTAACCCACAGCAAGGTCAAAATTATGGCTGCCTAGCTAATAAACTGCACGGCACTCATTCAAGTTCCCTCTAATTTTGTCCCTTGTGCCAGCTTATACAAATTCTTACTGAATAACTAGAGCAGCTGCAAATTTCCTATACAATTCCTCATCCGTGCACTGCAAACCACATGCGCACACAGAGTGCAGAAAAAATCCAAAATAAAAAAAAAAACCCAACCACACAGGACTAAACAAAAGCATTTACTAATGCTTCTTTCTCCCTCTCCTTTCCCTGCCCAGCCTAATTATGTAAACAACAAAGGTAATCTATATTATCATCTATCACTGAAATGCTCTATGTTGCTCACATATTAGCTTATTTATTTTTTATATCACATATCAAGAGCTTACTTGAATTTCATTTTTAAGACCAATCTGCTGCTTATTTACTCAAAAAGGTAGGATTATCTGAATCTAATTTTGGCAGGCAGTACAGATGACAAACTGCTTTTTTTTCCCCAACGAAAGGCAAGTGTGTAATGATTTCAGATGAGGCATTATGCGCATATACTACAAATAACTCAAAGTATGTTCCCCATTCATTTTTAGCATTTTTCCCTTATGGAAAAACATTTTCAAGATCACATAAATATTTGAGGAAAAGATCCATTATTTGGAAAAGTCAATTCAATAATCAAATAATGCAAACAGTTCCTGTTAATCTACTTAAAAAATTAAATAGACATTTAGAGTACAAGTGACTGCTGACCGAACAAAGGGGAAAATTGAATGTATTCACTATTACAGATTTAACTGTCAATCCACAGCCATTTCACATGTTTTATGAAATAATTTGCTTGTATTTATTTCTCTCAAGTTCAGGACAAAGAAACAAATTCAGGACATCTGAAAAATACATATTAAGATTTCAAAAGTAGCAACTGAACACTTCCAGTGAAAATAATACATTGAAAGCTTTTCTTTAAAACCTGTTCTGCCTTTTTAACCCCAGACTGCACTGAAGAATAGCACTAACTGAAGAGCGATCTGGTTTCTTATGAGTGAATAAGTGACGTTCACCGAATGTTTACATGTTTGTATTTAGCGAGGAAGAGATCATTTTGTCAATATGAGTGTAAAACTGCATTACGGTAGGCTGTACAACCTGAAAACCCCATGGCCACCATTTATTGATGAAGTTACTTTCATAAATTCCAGATAAACTTTGCTATACCAAAGGGTGTTGCATTTTGCTTTCCAACAGCCTGTATCCAGTTTTGAAACCTGAAGCAAAAGCTCAAAAGCTTCAAAAATAAGGCGCTAGAAGTAAAGAGCTGGAGAGGTCAAGAGCATCACCAGTGACAAGGTCATTGCAGAACCTGGGAATTTTTTAAGTCTCAGGTAGCCAAAGACATCAGCTATGCCCTGCACTTTATAGAGGATGGGAGAAACGGTCTCCCCAAACTAACTTGGTGGAAAGATGGTGTCCATTAGGTCCCAAGCATGTTATGAAGACACAGTTCAACATGGCAATTTTAAATGATCGGGAAACTGGTGTAACTTCTGCACAATTACAGGTTGATGTTGACAAATGTCATTAAAGATTCAAATACACCATAAATGCATTTAAGCGATCCAAATCTTCAAAGGTGCAGGTATAACTGAGTCATGAAAGGGCAAAGGCTCTACCATGCACTTTTTACATTATTAATTCAAAATATACTTCTGGGATTTAGGGAAGTTAGGCACTTCCAACCAATTTTTAAAAACACATTCAAATATGCAGCATAGAAAATAATCATCAAATGCAAATCAAGTACTAGGAAGTGATGTCTGCATAAATGGGCCAGCAATTTGAAATATTTGGCAAGTGCAGTTGGCCTCCATTCATAGCTAAAACATGAAGACAACTGAAACACCAACACTGGCTATTTCAGAGTTGATGAAAACAGCTAAGAGAGAGCTATGAGCATACAGTGAAGGGGAGCATTCAGGTCTTTGAAGGCAAATATGTCTTCATAAAGACAAATACATCTGATGCAGTTTGCGAATGCCAGAGCGCCGTACTTGGGAACACATCACTCCTGGCAGAACACATGGTCCTTATTCTTAACTCAGGAAATTCTTCAGTTTTGTTTTTTTCCTACTACAATACTAGAAAGGGATGCATAATCTATAAAGAAGATATACAAACAAATGGAAACAAAGTCAACATTATACAAATACCTTCTGTTTTCTTTTTAAATGCTATTTTCCCGTTAAACCACGACAATAAAATTGCTGCTTGAATGACCACCTTCTTGCAACAAAACCCCAAACCATCATCACAGCTTGCCCATTCCCCTCCCCACCCCTTAGCAGTTGTAAGTTAAGAAACTAAACAACCTTTGCAAACAATTTAGCATATAAGATCAGGGTCTGTTTGAGCATTTTACAAAACTGGTTGAGAACCATAACAAATTGACCTTGCCTTAATTATATGAACGCAGAAAATCTTTTGTGGTCTTGCATTCCTTAGCACAATAGATGAAGCCAAATGATGCTTTGGTCCCATCTATCCTCTACACCTTCCCCACAGCTTCTATCATGATAGTGCTTTGGAAAATGGGAGAAAGTCTGAAAACAGAGTTCCAGTCTCAGTTCATTGGTTACGGTGGTTTTCCTGAACTTAACATTAGGTTTTCTTATTCTTCTCCAACTGTAAGATTTCTCATCCCCATGCTGGGGTCAGGTCCCCAGTACTGGATCCTGGGTTCTGAATTGCTTGAACACTGGCTGTAGAACATTTTGGACTATGATTATCCCACCAGTGGCCTGCAAATTACCTGAAAACACCTCCCCCAAGACAGTATCAGCCTGACACATTCCTCTACGAGGTCCGATCATGTTCTGCCATCGTAACGTGACAAAATCCCTAGGGTGTAATGAACCATAGGCTGCACCAAGCTCCCCTCCTGCAGCACTCCTGAGCATGCCCCGCTCGGCTGCATGAACTCACCAGTTAGAGACTTTTAATTATATTCTGCAAAACTGCAGGGCACTGGTTAAGAAGGGCCATTTTTATGATGTACAGGAACTCTTCCGACCACAGGAAGTAATCTAACATGGCCCTCCATACAAAAGCAGTGGTACAGCTCAGATTCACCGCACACTTCAGCTGGATCCTCCTTCTGAAGCTCAGGACACCTAGATGCAAAGACTTGCAGGTGATGCCTGCTACAACCTCCCCGGAAAATCACAGACGTCTACA